CTCTGTTCCATCTCCCTCTGCCCCTCTCCGCTGCTCGTGCTCACTCTCCTCAAATAAATAAAATTTAAAAATATATATATAATAAAATATATAATAAAAAACAATAAAATATATAAATAAAAATATGTATAATAAAATATATATATAATAAAATATAATGTGCATTGCAAAACAAAGCAAAAAGTGACAAGAGTTTGTGCCATTATTATCTTTAGCTGAAGTTTCTGAAACATTACCAAAAAGTTGGTAATATCAAACAATATCATCATGGGTTTTGGTGTTAGACAAACAACATATTTACAAGCTGATGAGTCTGCTTAAAATATTTCATCTTTAGTTTCCTTATTTGTAAAATGAGGTTGTTAATAACCACTTCAAGATATTGCTGTAAGAAACAAATGAGATAATAATGTAGAATCACTTAGTACAATGGGTAGCAGACGGTCGGGACTCAACAAACGTAGTTCTATTCTGAATATATTGTCTTTTCTTAGGGAAATGGTGAGGTGCATTAATATCTTCTCTGGTTATCTTTGTAGAAAGTGAAGCAAGATAATCACCCATCAGAACTAGCTGCTTGATATAATCTATGAAGGTAGCCTGTGGTATCTTTCCATCTTAAAGAAAATTGATAAAGAATAAAGCTAAAGTTATAGGCTGGTTCCAGTCTCTCAATCACTTAAGCTCCAGAAAGGAAAATCTGATTAAGATAATAAATAAACAATTTGTTAAATTCTATAAAAGGTTTATAAAACACTTGACTTTGTGTATAAAACTAAGCACTTACAAGTGATAACTATTGTATCATTCATTTTTGTCACATCTGTTCAAATTTATTGGCAAAAATATCAAGTAAAACTATATTGTCATCCCATTTCCCTCTTATTGGCACTCACACAAGATAAATATTCCATAGAGTGTGAACCAAAATTAAGCTCATTCACAAAGATCATTACAATTGGATTCTTTCCTCAGAACTGAGAGAGCTGGAATAAATATGAATTCAAGAAAACAATTCTAGAAGTGAAAACTATCAGGTAATCAGCACATTAAAAAAAAAATGATTGGTAATGTAATCCACAAGAAAACAGTAAAGAGCCAGGATTTCAACCAAATATTATTAGGAGAAATTAAAATCGCTACTTCAAAGGACCTATCTCAATACATAACCATTTTCATCAATAAATTAAGGTATAATTAGTAAAAATATAATGCTGCCTTCTGGAAGAATGGGAAGTTTAGAACCACTATTCTAGCTCTTAACTGAGAGGAGAGAATTTTGAAGGTATATTAGACAAAGAAAAGATTTCACATTGGTCTTATCCATTGTTTAAAGGCTAAGAATAATGACATTTTTAAAAACCCTCTAAGTTTATAGGGTGCCTGAGTGGCTCAGTCTGTTAAGCGTCTGCCTTCAGCTCAGGTCGTGATCCCAGGGTCCTTGGATGGAGCCCTACGTCAGGCTCCCTGCTTGTTGGGGAGCCTGCTTCTCCCTCTTCCTTTTGCCACTCCCCTTGCTTGTTTTTTTTTTTTTTTTTTCTCTCTCTCTCTCGCTCACTTTCTCTCTCAAATAAATAAAATCTTAAAAAAAAAGATTATGTAAAAAAAAAACCCTCTAAGTTTGATATGACACCTAGCTAAAAAGGGTAGAGTTGACCCCTCTTGTGCATATGTTTGGCTGGAAAAATGGGTGAATTAATGTATTATCATCTGGTAAAAGTCAATAAATAGTGCAAAGAAATTATTATTTTCAAAACAGTCTATTATGTGATGCCTACATTCTCATGTTGTGATATGGAGGGAGACATAGGACTCATTTTAAAACTCATGAACCTGCAATATAGCTTAATAGTTTAGATCGTGTCATCAGGAGTTAGATGGTCCAAACACCAGTTCTACTATGTGACCCTGAGCAAGTGACTTACCTTCTCCAAGCCTAAATTGCTCATCTGTAATATGGGCCTAAAACTTGTGCCTGCCCCAATTCAGTGGGACAAAGCACAGAAGCACCCAGAGCAGTGGCCCACCTTACCCCAGACATTTCAGTGATGATTTCTATCCTTATTTCAAGGGAGATGCTCTGTTGTGTGGATATTTGGACTTACCATTTCTTTCCTTGGAAAAACACTAGACACATCTTATTTTGGTTATGCCCAAAGAATGGGAATGATGCTATGTGGAGAGGCTTCACCCCCAAGTATTAAGAAATGATTCGGTCGCAGTTTTTGCTTTCTTTAGCACAGAGAGAAAACACCACACTTACCAAAGGAATGACTTCCACCAAAACATTCCGTTAAATGTTTCATTTTGCTTCTCAATTTCTCGATTTTGGCGTTTGAGAACTAATGAATGACCACACAATTTCTGAGCATGGATGTGACACAACTCTGTGGCACATACAGGAATTGGCCACCCACCCACATACCTTTTGCCAGAACTAGAGTCTCTAGCCACAAATTCTGCCAGTGAGTCCATCCTTCTGTCTGCAACCATGAGAACATCAGTCTTGCTCAAAGTAAAGAGCTCAGAGTAAACTCTGCATATTCAAGGGAGCATAAGGAGCATGATACCCACACAGAGAAACAACTCCAGGTGAGAGATGGGTAAAACAAAAAGAAAATCCAAAAAACAAACAAACAAAATCCACCTTAACTCCCATGAGGGAAAGCATTAAATCAGTTTTCACTGAAAAATGCAAGGCCATTTATATTTTCCTTAATACTGCCTAAGTGCCTGTTACAAAGGCACTGAAATACTGTCTATTTCAGTATTACCCCCATGTGAAAATGGTTTTGAGATGCCTTCTGTATTCTTTGCTGGGGCCTGAAAAGAAATCACTGCATTACCTTGCATTTGCTCTTAGCGTCATTAGCCTTAGACAGCACCATCATTTAAGAAATTTATCATCACTGCTGTCCTTTGCACAATGTATTAGTGCAATACATTATAGGAACACCTCACTCTGATGATGTATGGCTCTAAAGATGGCAACATCTGGGGACAAATGGGTCTAAGAATAGATCTGGTGCAAGAGAATAAATGTATAGCTCCACCTTGGTAGTGTTACTCTGAAATAAACCAGCATTTGCTATTTTCAACCAACCCTGGAACACATAACAATCTTTACAACTTCCCTGATTTAAAAAAAAAAAACACAATTATTCATGACATGAAACTGATTTTTCACGACAAAGAGGGAAGGTTTCTAAAATTAGTGGGTTGGTACATTGAGGGATAACCTCGCACGAGCTTGATAAATTTCAATCATGGCTTTCAAGAAAACTCTAATTTAGTCCACCTCTCACTCACTTAAATTTTTCACTAGATTCTCCAAAGGAGAGAGAAGATATTAATGTCTGGTGTCTTCAAGGGTATTAGAACCAAAATTGAGTCGCAATTAGTCTATACCAAATTCTAGCTTTCTACATGGCTGATAATACATTTTTTCCAAAGCTCAATTCCCTCATTTTCATTCTTCAAAGTCCAGAATACTGTCCTCTCCATTACTTTGCCTAAATAGGACACAAATATTTTAACTAACTACTGAAATAAATCATTATGAACATTCAACCTCCAAGAAGATATGGCAAATGAAAATGCTTCAATGGCCCGATTCATGCATGCTAGAGGAAACTTCAGGGCCACAGACATTGTTTCTTAAAATGGGTACAGAGTGGGGGCGCCTGGGTGGCTTAGCCGGTTACGCGGCTGCCTTTGGCTCAGGTCATGATCTCAGGGTCCTGGGATCGAGCCCCACGGCAGGCTCCCTGCTCTTCGGGGAGTCTGCTTCTCCCTTTCCCTCTGCCCCTCCCCCTGCTCATGCTCTCTGTCTCTGTCTCCCTCTCTCTCTCTCAAATAAATAAATAAATCTTTAAAAAAAATGGGTACAGACGGCCTGTTTTACAAACTTCCCAGCACAGTTCGAGCACTGGCCCTATTTGCCCATTTTCAGCACTGTGCCTCTGAGAGAGTGCCAAGGGATGCGACAGTCCAACTTGCTACCCTGTCCCATCAGCCCATGATGTTTCCTTAACTGGAGTTTATCAACATTCCTCATGCTAAGAGAAGAAGAAAAGATTGAGTGGATAAAATGCCAGGCATGCACCATCTCACAATTACATCCAATTAGTGTATTTCCTATAACTGTGTTGACACACCAATCAGCCTGGCATCTGAGTGTGGTGAACTCAGAAGGCACCACAGCTCCTTCAACTCCACGCCCACCATCATGAATCTCAAAAGAGACTTGGGGCTCTCCGGTCTCTCAGGCTGCTATAAGATCATCATATTATCTGACCTTAACACACCAACTACTTTCCTCCCACAGGATGTTGTGGAGGGAGGAAAAAAAAAAATCCCTAGACTGTCTAGACCACTCGTCTGTGGTGATCAGGGATGCTGCTACACTCCATCATCTTTTCGTCTTTGCCGGGGCATGTCCCCATGTTATTTGTTACAGATTTACTAAACTACCAGGAAATCTTGATTTTGGTGGAAAAGAAACATAGAGGTGGAAAGAAATGCAGACAAATCAGAGAGACTGACAAACAGAGAGGAGCAGAAGGGAGGAAGGAATGAAAAAGACATGGATAAAAGAAATAAATTGCTGAGCTTCAAATTGTTTTATATTTAATGAGCTAACAACTATCTTAAATCAGAAATCTTATCCTCAGAAGTTGAGAGAGAATATATTCAACGCCTGCAGAGCAGCGCTGAATACCATCTTCTAGTGACATTATTTCCTTCCATGAATTACAGAACCTTGGCAAAATAAAATATTTAATTAAGGAACATATCATTGTGTCATTGAATAATTTTCCAAAATTATTTCCTCCTTTTTCACTGTTAGGAGTTATGAAACCTTCGATGCTCACCACTTCCATCATCCCGGCTTGTTCTTCCTGTTTTCTGTTTTCTCTTCCAAGTTCTTTCTGAGAACAGGATTTCTGATTTAAGGAGTTGTGAGCAAATTAAATAAAAAAGCAACGGGACACCCAGTGTTAACATACAACCACTGTATTTATTCCAAGATACCTTTTGCTCCAGACTCTTAAGCATGCCTCAAAACATGACCCCACCCAGCAATCCTCAAACGTTACAGAGTCTAGCCGATTTCATTTTAAAATAACATGCCCTCTGCACCTAACTGGGGATTAGCCCATGGTGGTCTCTGTGGGAATCTCACCACCTCTTTCAGCCCTTTCACCCCTTTCCCCAGGAATGGGACAAGCACATAACCACAACAGACACAGGTTATCTTCTCTCACCTCCTCCCACCAACTCCTCCACAGACCCTAGGAGTCAAATGTTCTCAAATTATCTGCTTCTCTCGCTCCTTTTCCTCGGTATCTCTCTTTCTTTGCCATCAATGTTCAGACCCCCAATTTGCATGGGGTAGGAGGAAACAGATGGCCAGATGGAGGCTCTCAAGGCTGGAAAAAAAACAGCCTTCTACTGGGATCAACCTAAGTGGCAGAGTTGTACACTGAGGTTTGGAGTAAAAGTTGCAGCCAACAAAAGAACATTCTGATGATTTTCTTTGCCTCTTCCCCAATGGAACCTGTGGAGAACGACAGAAATCAGGACAAAGCAAAATTCGGCTGGGAGGCAGCAGAGCGTGATGTTTGAGTGGTCCTCTGGCATCAGAGGCTTGGCTGCTTTCTAGTTCTGTGCATTTGCACAAGCATCTCACTTTCTCCAACTTCCATTTCGTCTGATGGCATATGGTAACTTGTTGATAAACAGCACCTAATTTTACTATTATTTTTGAGATGCTTGTGTAATATCTCCTAGCTTCTATATTCAATGAGAATGGCTAATTTTTAATTCAGGGCAGATAAAAGAGGTGACTTTGAAAAACAAAGAGGCTAGGACATGAAAAATCATAGTAAACTATTGTTTTATACCATGGTATATCAATACAGCCAGGAAAGCATGTCATGGTTCCATTGATCAGATACTCATTTAATATTAAGCACTTACTATATGTCTAGACCTGTGACAGGCATTGCAGGAAAACAGAAGAGATATGGGACATTGTTCTTTGAATCAAAGAGCTGCCAATCTAGGGGAAAAAACAAGATGGACACTGAGGAGTGGGATTTGGACCTGTTAGTGATTGAGGCAGATCTGGAACAAGGGAATAGACCAAAGTTGGATGGGAAATTTAGGTTGAGACAGGCAGAAGAGGAAAGTGAGGGCAGATGTAGCTCAGTTCGTGACGGTGGACAACTGCGAGCCACTGACAGGACTGAGTTCAGAAGAAGCACGAGGAGAGGGTGTAGCAGAGTTGGATTCAAATTTTTATGTACTATGAACACTGCCTCCCAGATGTGAATTGTCAATGGTGCCTGTGATAACAGCTACCCAAGAGGAGAGCCATGACTATGAGGAATAAAGAAAATGATGGAAAAATTATTGGAAGATTCTTAGCCTTGGAGACTGGAAATTATTTTGGTAGTTTCCACTGTAATGAATAATGTTTAAGGAGGCAACTTCAGGAGAGAGAGTATGAAATTAGTTAAGGTTTTGCAATTCTGATGTCATAACAAGATGTTTTAGAATCTAGGGCAACATCACATTAAGAGGGAGTTTGGATTCAATTCCTCTGTTTTGTTTTGTTTTGTTTTCCTCTAACCATTTTCTGAATTTGGGGCAATCACATGAAGATAGCCACCCCACCCAGCTTTTTTTTTTTTTTAAGATTTATTTATTTATTTTAGAGAGAGAGAGAGCACATGCACTTGTGCACATGCCCGGATTGGGGGAGGTATAGGAGGGAGAAGGAGAGAGAGAATCCAGCAGACTCCTCCCCACTGAGCACGGAGCCCGACACAGTGCTCCACCCCAGGACTGAGATCAGTCCTGACCTGAGCTAAAATCAAGACTCAGACACTTAACCAACTGAGCACCCAGGTGCCCTACTCAGCTTTTTCTTCACAAGAAATGTATCCATGCAATCGCTCCTCCATCCCCAGAATAAAAAAAAAGGAAAAATTATTTACAATGACAGAAGCTCTTACATTTGAAAACGATGGCAGCTACCATTTTGTCATGCACCAAATTTAGTCAGAGTCATTGAATTCTTCAATGATATTCCAGAGAAGCCACCTGGGAAGACAAAGTGAAGTGGTGAGATGCTTAAGTCCAAAGGGACCTCATCTGGTCCATAAGAATTGCCTTTGTAATTTATGATGCAAGCCAGAGTACTACATAAATTTTGCAATGAGAAATGAAATTAGCCCCATAAATGTTCCCAACTGAAAGACCAAAAGAACAACAACAACAATAACAAACAACAAACAACAAAGAAACCCACCACGAGGGACAATTAGAAATAATCCATTGTCTCCCTTCTGTACTGGGTGTCATACTACCACATTATTCCTTAATGAAATCAAATGTACATATGGGGGCCATAGTATCATTTGAATCCTCTGAGTCTCCGTAGAGAATGAGTGTGTAGAAAATCTCCATATATTCCAGCCTCAACTCAAGGACAAGAGATTACTGGAAAAAGAAAATATTTAGGTAGGCAAAAACAAAAGTCCCTTCTTGTTAATACGTTGCCTTCCGCAAAATTACCTCTCAGCAGGCGACACGAGACTCTGTCACCTACCAGGGTGGTTAACACAGGTTTAGATCTCAAAGTCTTTCTTCTCCTTGATAGGGACTACTTCTTTAAAAGTGTTGATGAAGATTTCACAGATTTCTTTGAAAATAATTATTAAAAAAGAAATGGCTCCCAGGCTTTATCCTCGCATAGCAATAAGCCTCCGCTGCGAGCAAGTTTTTTAAGTCAAGATTTTTGCTTCCAAAAAACAGATTTGTAGAAATGCATTTAAAAACCGTATTAATTGGAACAGGCTACAGGCCAATTACACCAGTGGCTTGAAAACAGTCCCGAAATAATAAAATATATAATAATGCTGACTTTTTCCCCTGTTAATATCACCACAATCTGAGAAATCCTTTTAGGTGTTGCACTAATAAATGATTTGGATCCTTAATGACAATTAATTACAGAAAATCAAAGGGAGTTTTTGAAAAGTAAAAAATTATAATCAGATAAAGTAGACATCCATTTGGCATCATTTAAACAAGCTATGTTTTTCTTGACTGCTCTTTTAGCATTTTGCCATTTCTTTATTTTTGCCAGATGTTTTATTTTATAAGTTGGTAAATCTCGTCATTTTTATAGACTAAAATTTGTAAAAATGGGGTGAATGATTATAAAAACGGCAAAAGGTTAACAAGACTGAAAGGCCAGATGCCAGCTTCTCTCTTGAAAAGTAAGCATATTGAACAAAAATAAAAGAAAATCCAATACAAAAATTATGTACATTTTTAACTGAAAATGGAAACTCATTATACTAATTATAATAGCAGGCAAAGTGTTTTTGTAGCCTCCTATATACATCAAGTCTCCTCAGGTCCTCTCTTCCCTTCCTGGCCTTACACACACAGAGGCAATTTTTTCTAGGAATAGACAATGTGGTGAAAAGAGAAAGATCTCTGAAGTCATTTCCCACGAAACATAAAATTTCCACTTTTAGCACCCTCCTCGAAGCGAGGGCATCATAATCTCCAGAACACAAAATCTGACAGGCAAATATTCCAACTAGGAGGGAAAAACATTTCGCTGGCTATTACCAACTCTTTCAAAACTTGGTTCCCTCATTATCTCACTCTGTGGAACACACAAACTTGCTTCAACCTTAGAATCTGAATCCTTTCACTGGTAAGTGACAATGTATGTTTCTATAACAACACGTTTCCTAAAGTTGGGGAGAGCTCCCTTTGCATGGTGCCTCGTGAATTGTAGGAGCTCCATCAACAGTAGCTGCTACGGGGATGATGATGATGATGATGATGAGTTAGCCAGTGGGGAGAGAGGGAGAGAAGTGCACAGAGGAAGCAGCAGAACATGCTGGGTCCCACGCCGCAGGGGTCCGGGAAAGTGGGAGATAAATACCACTCCTTGACAACTTTGCCTGTGGCCAGGCCTGACTGGACTCATCTGCTGCTACGACACACACCATGGTTTGGGGCTGCAATTAAAAAACACTGTAGACAGGCTGGCTTCTAACAGAAATCGATCTCCCATGGTCCTGAAGGCTGGCAAGTCCAAGATCAAGGTGCTGGAAGATGTGGTGTCTGCTGAGAACTCAATTCCTGGTTCACTGCCTTCCAGCTGGGTCTTCAAATGGCAAAAGGGACAAGGGAGCTCTGTGCGGGTCTTTTGTAAAGGTACTAAGCTCATTAATGAGGGCTCTACCCTCATAAACCTAAGTGCTTCCCAAAGTGCCCCTCCCCCACTCAGCAATACCATCACCTTGAAAGTTTGGCTTAAACATGAATTTGGGAGGAACATAAACATCATAGCATTAAAAGAAAGGCTAAAAAGATAACTTCTATTAGACCCAAATGTATTATGCCCAGTGTTCATTTCTCCAAGATTCACCCAGGGATTTGCCTAATCACATAATCATACTCACGACTGGTGCTCAGCTCAGCGCCTTGCCATGGTAGAAACACCAGCTTTGGTGTGACTGTGTTGCACACGGGGCACCAGGCTTTGAATATTCCTTGCCTATAATTGGGGAGCCAAGCGAGAACTTCCAGAGCCTCCAGTTCCTGGACCTGAGGCAGCATTTTCTCACCAAGTGTTCCAAATTTGAATAATTATTATACAAGGTGTTAATCAGTGTGAGAAAGGCTAGTCAGACAAAGCCAACCAGGCTCCCTTATTTCAAGACTTCTCAGAGCCTTTAATGTGCTAGTATGGAATATAAGCTCCCCAGAAAGGCACTTCCTTGATCATCCAACACTTTTTTCACAGAGCATTTCATGGGTTTAGTGGTCTCCTAAACACTTGGGAAAAATGCACTGGCAAGTCCCAAGATGGTTTTCATCTTGATTTGCTTCTTTGTCTTGCATAGATTCAGAAACCCAAGTCTGTATTATCTACTTAATGGAGGATCATTCTTAGTAATGTGGGTATGATGTTTAAGGACACAGAGCTCTGGATCTTCAACTGAAGCCACAAGTCCTTGAGAGATATAGAGAAATGGACAACTCACACAAAATCACACACTTGACTTCTATGAAAAAGTCTTTTCCTCAAACTCTAGTGTAGACTCTCGAAGATCAAGGCCAGAAGTTACACTGGGGCTTGGAGGAAATCGAACATACTTTGAACATACTCTCCATAAGTGGCCCCTTTTTCAGGCTCAATGGAGAAGGTAGTCAGAGTCTGTGTGTTCATTCCCACCTCTACCCCACAGAGCAGAACCAGTGCATCTGGATTTGGCTGGAACGTGTAGGCTCAGAGAAAGGTAGTTTTTTTGCCTAGACATCAGGCAAATATGTCTAAGCACAGAATACATTTATATCCTGAGGAATTAGGGATCATGGTCTTCAGAAGCAAGCAATCTCTCCAAAGTCTCCTCATGGTAGATAAGGGTTGATTGTGCTCGCAATTCTTTCCACCTTCTTCAGTTACCAGAATGTGTTTTATTTTCTTTTTAGACACATCCACATCTTGGGGGAATGTCAAGATAAGGGCCCAGGTACTCTACCCTCATTGGAAAGCAGGTTACTTTAGCCAATTAGATTTCCTCTGTCCCCTGGATAAAATCTGGAGAAAAACAGACCTGGAAGATGGGTAAATAAAGATTCCTGATGACAATGTTAGAGCCCTTGGACCCAGCCGTACCTCTGAAATGGAGCCCTCCAAAGTTTCAAATTACAGTGGCGGGAATGTCTTTTCTGTTTAAGCTAGTTTGAGTTGGGTTTCTAAAGCTTCAATAAGAAAGTGGCCGAATAATCCACTCCTGTTCTTAAAAATTCATGCAAAATTTGCATTCTCCTTCATAATACATCCATGTTTGTTTTAAAAGAAAAATATGTTAAATTATTTACCTTTGAGTAAAGTTGACTTTCCAGAAGATGTGCCATGTTTATATAGTGTCTTCTCACCCACCTAACTCATTGCTGAGGACCCTAGTTTTGAGGTGCATGGTTGTGGAATAAGAATGTAATGGTGCCTTTCTTAGTCCTTTTAATCTTACTATCCTGAAAGTTAGGGAAGGAAAAGCCAAATAAAGGAAGATGAAGAAGAATTACATCGTAGGGAGGCTTAAGCATTGACTCCTGCCTTAGGTTGCTTGGATCCCCACTGATTACAATGTGTCTCAGGTTTACTGAGCGGTTACTACGTGCCACATGCTTTATATGTATGATCTTAGTTCTCATAACAACATTTCAGGTGGTTACTATTATTCTCTCTTTTTATAGATGAAAACAAACTGAGATTTGCTCAGGGGAAAAAACACTGTGCAAGATTACAAACCTACTAAGAAAGCCAGAATCAAAACCTAAAGAGCTAATCATTATCGTCATCTTTATCATCACATGTACCATGTTCTAGGCACCATTCAAAGGTTTTTATGTAAATAATTCATCAGATGGATACTATTACCCTTTACTCAAAAACAGAGAGACCAAAGTGAACTTATTTGCCTAAAATCTCAGTTAGTATATTTCACAACCAGATGGACTAGCTCCAGAGTGTGCAAACTTGGCCAATCTACTCTCTTCTTTCCTTGGCCTTTTAAGGTAGATAGAAAGGAACAACGTGCTTCCTTCCAAGATAGAATAGGCCCCAGGACCTTTATGCCGTCCCACCCACATAAGAAACCAGAGCTTCTTAAAAAAACAAATAAATCTTAATTTTTCATTGAAAACTAAAGAACCAGAAAATTTGCCACACAAAACCCTGTTTTTCTCTATATCACACACAAGTTGCACCTTCTAAACTGTAATCTGATGCATGTCTTCTGATTTGCCTGAGGCATACCAAGACTCTTATAGTTAGAGAGGAAAGGGGCAAGTAAATGTACTAGTTTCCTATCATCGCTCTAACAAATTACCACAAACTCAGTGGCTTAAAATGGCACAAATGTATTATCTTATAGCCTGGATGTCACACATCTAAAATGGGTCAGGAGGGCTGTGTTTCTTCTGGAGGCTCCAGGGGAGACTCTTTCCTTGCCTTTTCTACCTGCTATAGGCTGTTGTCTTCCTTGGCTCATGTTCCCCTTCCTTGGTCTTCAAAGCCAATAGTGTAGATCTTCAAATCTCTCCTGGACTCTGACTCTCTGGCCTCTCTTCTTCACTTATAAGGACACCTGAGATGACACTGGGCCCACGTGGACATCCAATGTACCATCTTAAGTTCCTTAACTTAATCACATCTTCAAAGTCCCTTTCACCATGTAAAGTAACATACCCCCAGGTTCCAAAGATTAGAACACGTACATCTTTAAGGAGACATTAATTTAGCTACCACAGTAGGCAAAGGGAGTTTCAGCTTCCCCAGAGGCCAACAGACACTGCTTCTAGAAGCTTCATGCTTTCAGAGAAGTAGCAACTGTCTACTCCAGCTCAGGATCTTGGGGTGGAACCAGCAGCCATCCTGCTGTCTGGGAGGGATCTCAGACAAAGGGGTGGAGATAATTCACAAAATTATCCCCAGCTCTTCTGGGCCAAAGGTCACATTGCCTTTTAACCCAGAGCCAGCCAGTTGTGGTTTGTCAGGTGCAGGCCCCTATGGAACTAATTTCATCTGCTACTTCCAGAGTAAGTTTCCAGAGAGCTCTCTTTAATAATTGTGTTTTAAAACATAAGATGAATAATGATTATTTCCTTGTTTAGGTCTGAGATCACTGTGCTTTCCATGCTTTAAAATAGCAAGTGATTTATTTGTTTTACAGCTAGCTTTCTTGGATTCCTGCCCAGGTCATGTTTGAATGGGCATTATCAGATTTTCCCAATCTTTGTTTTCTTGGCTATTAAGAGAAATAGAACTGAAATACCCAGAGTTTTCTTTTCAGCCACTTCGTAACCAATGGATTTACCTTCTATAATAAATAAAAAAAATTAAATCTATGTTCATTTCAGTCTCCCATGCAATTCTGAGATATCTACACTCCCTTGAATTTCAGATTAAATGAAAGCAGTTATGGGCCAAAGTAGACTTTTGTTAAGATTACAGACATATTATATACATTTCAAATGAATAATAGAAAAAAAAAACAAACTCTCCCCAACTACATATTGGGGCTAAATTTAAAAATGTCACTGGCCAGGCCTTAACTAAAGGTACTTTGAAAGCTTTGGCCAAACCCTTAGGCATTCAGAGGAGGTCTGGAATGGAGTTTAGAGGACGAGCAAGGGAGAAGCGGATTTCTCTGCATAAGAAAATAGGAGGCTCTTTGTTTTTCCTTTTTATTTCCTTAGAAAGCAGTCATAGACAATACATAAATAATTGAAAGTAAAGGTGTTCCTACAGGCAGCAACCTCTTCAACCTCGGCCGCAGCAACTTCTTCCTAGAAACATCGCCAAAGGCAAGGGAAGCAAGGGCAAAAATGAACTATTGGGATTTCATCAAGATAAAAAACTTTTGCGGGCGCCTGGGTGGCTCAGTTGGTTAAGCGACTGCCTTCGGCTCAGGTCATGATCCTGGAGTCCCGGGATCGAGTCCGCATCGGGCTCCCTGCTCGGCAGGGAGTCTGCTTCTCCCTTTGACCCTCCCCCCTCTCATGCTCTCTCTCTCTCTCTCATTCTCTCTCTCAAATAAATAAATAAAATCTTTAAAAAAAAAAAAAAAATCTTTTGCACAGCAAAAGAAACAGTCAACAAAACCAAAAGACAACTGACAGAATGGGAGAAGATATTTGCAAATGACATATCAGATAAAGGGCTAGTATCCAAAATCTATAAAGAACTTCTTAAACTCAACACCCAAAGAACAAATGATCCAATCAAGAAATTGGCAGAAGACATGAACAGACATTTTTCCAAAGAAGACATCCAAATGGCCAACAGACACATGAAAAAGTGCTCAATATCGCTCGGCATCAGGGAAATCCAAATCAAAACCTCCATGAGATACCACCTCACACCAGTCAGAATGGCTAAAATTAACAAGTTGGGAAATGACAGATGTTGGCGGGATGCGGAGAAAGGGGAACCCTCCTACACTGTTGGTGGGAATGCAAACTGGTGTAGCCACTCTGGAAAACAGTATGGAGGCTCTTCAAAAAGTTGAATATAGAGCTACCATACGATCCAGGAATTGCACTACTGGGTATTTACCCCAAAGATACAAATGTAGGGATCCGAAGGGGTACGTGCACCCCAATGTTTATAGCAGCAATGTCCACAATAGCCAAACTGTGGAAAGAGCCAAGATGTCCATCGACAAATGAATGGATAAAGAAGATGTGGTGTATATATACAATGGAATATTATGCAGCCATCAAAAGGAATGAAATCTTGGCATTTGCAACGACGTGGATGGAACTGGAGGGTATTACACTGAGCAAAATAAGTCAATCAGAGAAAGACATGTATCATATGACCTCACTGATATGAGGAATTCTTAATCTCAGGAAACAAACTGAGGGTTTCTGGAGTGGTGGGGAGTGGGAGGGATGGGGTGCCTGGGTGATAGACATTGGGGAGGGTTTGTGCTATGGTGAGCGCTGTGAATTGTGCAAGACTGTTGAATCACAGATCTGTACCTCTGAAACAAATAATACATTATATGTTAAAAAAAAAGAAGAAGAAGAAGATAGCAGGAGGGGAAGAATGAAGGGGGGAAATCGGAGAGGGAGAAGAACCATGAGAGACGATGAACTCTGAAAAACAAACTGAGGGTTCTAGTGGGGAGGGGGGTGGGAAGATGGGTTAGCCTGGTGATAGGTATTAAAGAGGGCACGTTCTGCATGGAGCACTGGGTGTTATACGCAAACAATGAATCATGGAACACTACATCGAAAACTAATGATGTAATGTATGGTGATTAACATGACATAATACTAAAAACAAACAAACAAAAAAGAAAGTAAAGGTGTTCCAATAAACTTCTCCAAAAATAGGTAATGGGCCAGATTTGGCCCCTGGGCCGTAGTGTGCTAATGCTTCTAGTTCTTTACACCAATAAGCTTATTTTCGCTCATGGCATGTTTTCCCTTTTTGCTTGAGCTAATTTAAATTCTGGTCCTAAATTAAACCATATCTCAATAAAATGGGCTTCCTTTGTATTTTCTTGTATGCATTTAGAAGCACTGATCTGAGGAAACTTTACCACACTGCCAAAGAAGCTGAAGCCCAAAAAAGGATAAGAACCCCTGAGTAACACCACAAAGTGTAAAAGCCAGTGTATTATATACACTTCTCAGAAACCAATTATTCCTGAAAGATTATACAGGATGAAATTATAAATAAGTTATTAAAAGGGAGCCGGGGAGGTTTAACAGAAACCCTAAGACACGAGAATGACATCCATGTAAGCAGCATCCATCCCTTGTTCCATTGTCTGTTGAGAGTACCAACAGACACTAGAAGAGATTGGCCCCAGAGTGACCCCAGTCATATGTCCCAGGTACAACTCTATTTCCTTTGAGAGACATCATGGGAGTGGGAAACCATAAGGAATTTGTGAAGCACTGAATCCTGGGTTTGAATCCCACTGCCATTTCTCAGTAGCTGTAGGTCCTTGAACTCCTTGCTTCATCTCTGGTGGGTCTCAGTTTCCATCTTTGTCAACTTCAGAGGGCTCATCCGAGTAACAAAAGAGAGGACACAAGGAAGAGAGGGCAGGCACTCAATCGATATTCTCTTGCTCCTCCATTTGCTGTGGTTATTGGTTTCCTTCGGATGACGATTTAAACCAAGAGGCTGAAGTATTCCACAAATGTGTATGAGTGCAGTGCTCGTTTAGCATTTCAGGTTTTTATTAAGCAAACTGATAAGACTTATATTCTGTAATTGGTACGTGTTCTTTTTTTGCCTAATGACACTAATCTGTTTTTATCTTAGTCATTTAACTGAGTTTCGTGATTAGCACAGGCAAGGTTTTAGGGATTTAAATACTTTGTTTGATGTTTTTGCTTTTAGACATGTTTGATTATTTATTAAAATCGATAAAATCAGCTGTATCAACTAGTTATTAAAACTATAATTCTTTTATTGGCTAATACCAGGAGGGCTGAAGCAAATGAAAAACGAAAACATTACATGAATTTTTGATTATAAAGCAAGCTTCTATAGGGGTGGCCTACATACTTTGCATTAACTGCAGCCTGTTTAGAACAAGTCTGTTCTATCTTTAGTCAATAAGGAAAGGACCAAGTGGGTAAGCATATGCGCGACTCATGTTCTAATTTATGCTTTAAAATAAATACAAGTTTGAAAGAAGCAATGTGTTCTGGTCTTCAGAAAAGAAATATGAAATACTTGCTAACAGAGCGTAGTGAATAGTATCCAAAGATGGCTTCCATCAATTCCTTCCGTCCATGTACATGCATGCCACTCCAATGACCAAGAGGTAGATTCAGTTTCCCTTCCCCTGAATCTGGGCCTGTATTGTGATCTGCTATGACCAGTGATAAATGGAAGTGACACTCTGCTGGCTTTGTTCAAGTTCTTCAAGAGACCTTTCAAGAGCCTCGCTTTCAATGTAGGAAGGCATATGTCAAGCTCTCAAGAAGTTTAGGCCAGAGTAGTAAATGAGAAGACACACACGGAGAAAGAAAGGACACGTGGAAAAGCACAGAACTGGAATGCCAGACAAGCAGTAACATCTTCGTGTACATTCCAGCCCAGCCCAGCCCACCCATATGGAACAGAAGAACTGCCCAGATGAGCTCTACCAGAATTCCTGATGCAAATATTGGGAAGGATAATAAGTCATAATTGTTTCAAGTCACTAAGTTTGAGGGTGTTCTGTTACTCAAAAATACATAGCTTAAATGGAGGCAGGAAGGATCAGGGAATGAACACAACTTTTCATGTAAGTGCTCAAAATCAAATACCTGGTTGAATGAGTGAGTTTTTATTGACCTAAGATTATTTCTTCACTCCAAAACAACTTCAGAAGAAAGAGTACCTCTTCTGAAACACTGCAGGGGAAGAGAGAGAAATGCCTAACGTGTCACACAGCTGTGGAAAAGTTGGTCCAGGAGTTTGCCATGTGAAATAAGAATGACCGTCAAGAATGGTTTAAAAGTCTTGATGTCATTAATAATGGACTTGTCCATATGAAGAGTTAATTTATTAACTAGAGACAGCTCTTGGACAGATCCCTGTGTCTTTGTGTGTGCAGGGACACACCTGCAAAATGAGCAGATACGTTACCGAAAACATAGATCATACTGCCTTCACCTCAATTATGTGAATAATTTAGCCTCTCCTCGTCTCCTGCAAAAAAAAAAAAAAAAAATTGCTTTTAACTTTATAAAGAAATTAAATACCTAGGAGAAGAAAGAGAATAGGTAGTAAATATATAAAATATATGCAAATTAAAGCAGTATGATACCATTATCACTTGTCAAACTGGCAAATTAAGAAAATTAATTCCCAATGAAGGCAAAATAGACATTTTCATTCTAAAAGACTAAAAGAATTTGTCACCAGCAGATGCTCACTAAAGAATATATTAAAGAGGGTCCTTTAAGTAGAAGAAAGATTATTCCACATGAAAGAACAGAGATGCAGAAAAGACTGAAAAGCAGCAAAAATGGTAAATAGGTGGATATGTCAAAATGGGTATTAAATATACAAAACAACTACTCTAATGTTTTGTTTGCTTTTCTCATGTATAAAATTAAAGTGCACAATGTCATATTAATCTGTAGGGGATAAATAGCATTAAAGTGACTAGCATTTAAGTCCTCAAATTATCCATAAGCAAGTTAAAAATACTAATAGTTGACTTTGGTAAGTCAAGAATGTATGTAATAACCATACAAATAACAGAAGAATGTCAATAAAACTTTCAAACTCCTAGAGAAAAATATGAGAGGATTAAGAACTCTTTAACCCAAAATAATGCTATAAAAAAATAAAAGAACAGGCTAGACAAATAACATTCTGTAATATATCAATAATTACATTAACTATAAGTGTACTAAATGCTGTATTTAAATGACAAAGACTATTTGACTAGGTTAAAAAACAAAATCTACTACAAGCTGTTTACAAGGGATAGGTTAAAAGCAAAATATTTTAAAGAGAAGAAAATTTTATGCCATATAAACTAACAAAAGGGAAGCTGTGGAATAACAAAAAACAAATTTAAGTCAAAAATGCTACTAGAGTTGAGGAGGAACAATTTTAATAATCAATATGTAACTCACCATGAAAATACAACTATTCTAAATTTATATATACCTAACAACTGAGCCTCAATGTGAAGCAAAAAATGACAGAATTATAAGAAGAAAAAGACAAATCCAAATCATAGTAGGAAATTTTAACATACCTTTCTCTGTTACAGACAAATAAAACCAATAAGGTTGTATATTTGAATAGCACAACTAGCAAACCCAATTCAAAGCAAGTACAAAGAATGCTGCTCAAAAGTAGAGATGATACTCTTCAAAGACAAACAGAAACGCAACCACAACTGAACATACAGTGGTCCATGAAGCAAGTCCTAGCAAACTGGAAAGCACTGAAAACATACAGAGTATGTTCTCTTACCACTAGCAATTAAATCAAAAATATAATTAGAAAATCCCATATATTCAGAATTCAAGACATACATTTAATGGCCCCTACTTCTAGCTATGATGGTATTGGTTATTGATAATAATCCTTTTTAAAAACACTTGCAAAAGCTGGACAAAAAAATAACAATGAGTGGATACAATTCTACCACTGTGGGTAAGAGAATCATAAGTGATTTGGTGGTTGGCTTTTTTGTAAGTTTATATTTATTTTCCCAGTTTTCTAAGTTCAGCAAGACTTACATTTTCACTTAGTGACCATAAAGAGTTGTTACAAATAAAGTGTCATTAAAACTTTTTCATTATTTATATTCTCAATCGATAGTTACAATAACACAATCATCCTCATGTGAAGGCTTTCAACAATGTTTGATGTTATTAAAAATATATAAAAATATCCTTTGACCCAGAAGTTTCACTTCTGGAAGTTTATCCCCCAAAACATATTCATATATCTGTCCAAAGATGGATATACAAGAATATATTGTGTGTGTAGGTGTATATTCTCAAGTATCTGTTGACGGAATGCTGGAAACATCTTAAATGTCCAGTAATAAGTGGCTGCTCAAGAAACTATGATCCAGGCATTCCCACTTTCTGAAAGTTTGCTTTATGTCACTTTGCTTTCATGGAAGACCTACGTTAGTACTTGTTTTTGCAAATCAAATGAAATCTGAAGAGGATTTTCACTTTTGCTTGAAAAGTGAAAACTGTGTTGTTTGTTTTGCAGGGAGCCCTTAGAGGCAGCACATCCTGCCCAGGGAGAGAGACCCCACCAGCCGAGCTCCTTCCCCGGGAAACACACTCAGCATCTCAGCATCCAGCTGCCAACGCTTTGAATTGCGTTGGCGAGCATCTGTGCTTTATCTCCACTTATTTTGCTCATCTGTTAGCAAGATGTGTCCTAAGGTATTAGAAAAGCCTAAGAAGTTATTTTCGGGGTCTGGGAATGCTCAAGATTTTTCCGTATAAATTAATGGTAATTGCTTCTTCACTTTACGCCACTCCCGCTTACAAAATATTTCAAAGGATGCTCTGCTGTCAGATAGTGGGGGAGACCTGTACATCGATAGAACTGGATGCCTTTGAGATACTAACAAAGAATGAGATAGGTCTAGGTATGCTGATAGACTGTATGTCTTGGGCTAAACATCTTGGGTAACAAGCAGCAGAGATCAATTCTGGAGGACTCGAGCAAAAATGAAATGAATTGGGACAACATGAGTCACAGAATGGCCAGAAGGCTGGAGAGAAGATGACGAATTAGTAGCTCCTGACCATTCAACATCAGCTTTCACTCCGTCATGTTGTCTGGATATTGTTGTCTCAGTCCTGAGTCATTTGAGGGTTGAGATTTGCTCTGAAGAGAGAGCAAAGGGCACCTGGGTGGCTCAGTTGGTTAAGCGACTGCCTTTGGCTCAGGTCATGATCCTGGAGTCCTGAGATCGAGCCCCACATTGGGCTCCCAGCCCAGCGGGGAGCCTGCTTCTCCCTCTGACCCTCTCCCCTCTCATGCTCTCTCTCTCAAATAAATAAAAATCTTAAAAAAAAAAAGAGAGAGAGCGAGGCTGGGTCCTGGGTCTCGTACCCAACCCTTGGCTACCAGGTAATTTATGTTCCCATAAGGAACATGCAAAGCGAGAAAGAGGTGATTTCCCAAAATAAAATCAGGGTGTTATCTGAAAGGGAAAAAAGAATGTTGCACAGAAAAAATAAAAAAACTTCCTCCACAAACTGTTAACAGAATAAAACAAAACATGAAAGTATATGTATAGTAAATCACTACTTGTGTGTTTAGAAATGAGAGAATACATATTATGTATATGTATTCGCACAAAAGCTATCTTAGAAAAAAAAAACACTAGAAACAACTTAACATCTGTATCCCCCATGAGGGGAAGGACTGTGTCTATTTCCAATGACTAACACACAGGAGGCTCAGAATAAATAGATGCAGAATGAATAAAAGAATATAATTCTAAGGAGGAGAGCAGGGAGAGACAGAGACTTGCTTTTCATAGATTATTATTATTATTATTATTATTTTTTTTTTTGGTCAAGTGCCTGGAGTTCTTTTGCAGCTATGAAAGGACATACAGAGAATTAGTAAATAGAACAATGTATACACATTTGGTTTGAAAATTCCTTACTCTAGGAAGTCTGGAAACTGTTGTTATCAATGACCTGCCTACCCTCCCCTGAACCGTCTCAGTGTGTACGTGCCCAGAGAGAGTCTAGCAGAAAGGCCTCATTGTCCAATGGAACGAACCAGTTTCAGCAGGGGAAGCTCCCCCCCCCCCCCGCCCCCGGGATGCACACGCTGCAACTCAGCTACTCCAGCCTCGGGAAATGATGCCTTTGGAAAGATAAATAGTCAAGGGTGATTTGGTCATCACACTGGGGCTCCAGCTCTTTAGAAGTCTGCACTGATAGCAAAAACATTGCTGAGTGTCTAAATAATTTGAATGATATTAGTCGGGAGACCCTGGATAGAGGAAAACAACAATGGCTTGCTGACAGCAACTGACAATGGAACAGAATTTTGTGGGCTGAGATGATTGTAAACGCAAACAATGGTGATATTGTCCTTCTGGTGTTATTGTGTAACGCTGTAATTTATGGATGAAGTGGAATTTCAAACAAAATAAACAGACTTGAATTTGTTAACTAATACAGTAAGCAGAGAACATTCTGTTACGTGAGAAGAGAAATGGGAATGTTTTCTATGCCCCTGCTATTTGCTAAACAGAAATATGTTTATATTTGGCATAAAGTCTTGCTTTCCATTGTTTTCGCTAGCTTTTCGAGAATATCCTCTTTCATTTCATCGTGAAAACAGAGCTACAATGTGGGCAAGAGAGGAATATTGTCAATATATATCACTATACAATTACTGTTATAGTTTCAGGAGTTAAAAAATACAAGACCTTATATATCACCGGCCAGAGAAAACCCTTTTGTGCAAGTGTCAACTAATTGTCTCTTAACTTAGAAAATGCAATGCCTGTCTTATCACAGATGCGAGGTGCTGAGACGGCTGCTTTTCTATCACGGATAGTTTATGGTGTCATGTAGGACAGTTTGCTTTCCCTTACACTTATAAAGGAGGAACTGTTTCTCTCTACACTAAAAACATCAGGCTTATATCTCAGGACGCATTGTTAATACTAAGTTATCACTTACAATATCATTGTTAATGATAAGGTCTTATTTATGAAACTGTTTATTATATCCTAAAATTATTATTTGTGAAATTTAGGATACTGGACAGAGGGCAAATTATATCTCTTCTGTCTCAGTGCTAGGAATAGTCTCTGGCATGTAGTAGGTAATCAGCAGGTATTTGTTGAATGAGTAAATATTTGATTCTTCTATGGGCAAGGTGTTGTTCTAAGTTGGGGATACATCTGTCAAAGACAAACCTAAGTCTGAGACAAAATTAACAAACACTATGTATTCATAAACTCGCAAAAGAACCCATCGGCTGTCACTTTTCTTTCAGCAGAGATTCAAGGGTGTTAGAAGGGACAGTGAGTTTTAGAGTGTCAAAAAGGGAAGGCTAAGACAACCTCTGATTGGTAAGGGTTCTGTGAAGGTGGGATTTTTGGAAGCCAGGATGACTTTCTACAGGTATGTTTGGTGGTCCTTGGTTGGCTGTAAAAAAGCAAGTGAGTAATTTGGGGACATTGT